GAATATTCTGTACTAAAATTAAACTAAGGAAAATTAATATTTTGGGATACTATATAGGAAATGATTCGTCTCAAAAACAATACTTTCATGGATTTTTGAGACAATTGAAAATAGGTTGATTGGTCCATAGGATGTCAATCTGTTGATATATTTGACTCAAATTAGGAAAAATATGACAGTGGGATATTTCGAAGAGGTAACCAAGTTATATAAGGCATGATTTATATAGTAAAAAATGACGAAACAATATGTATACAAATTGATACTCCACATAAAAAACAGGATCAATTATTTCTTCGGGAAGATTGGTTGATCAAGCAAATTGCAGAGACATTGGTTATGGTGATTCCAGAATACTATTATTTTTTTTTTTTACAGTATAATAGATTAATAACACAATCTGTCACATTGAATAATAATACAATCTGTCACATTGCAAGTATTATATAATACAAGTATTCATACAATACAATACATGAATAAGGATTCATCATAAGTATTCATTCATATCATATATACAAAATAGAAGTGAACGTAAATAGTTAAAAAAATTGTAATTAAATTAAATTCAAAACAGTAAACGTAGGTATTAAATAACTATGTAAATAGAAAAGGGAAAATAAATATAGATAACTATAAAATTAAAAATATGTATAATAATAAATAATACACAAAAATAACCGATTCAGAGTTACGTAATTATTAAATCAAATTCTAACGTTTGACGATTATTATTTGAAATCATCTTTTCCACATTTCGTTATTGTATATAATAAAAGTATAATAATATATACACACACATACAAATTGATGCTCGTAGTGGTTCAACTCCTAAAGAATTAGCTCAATATTCTCCTCGGGATGATTGGTTGATCCAGAAGGTTTTACAGAAAGTGGTTGTCACAGCAACCATGTCTATCTGATATCATAAACAAGTCAGACAAGGCTGCTGCGAAAATCACAAATTTCTGTCTATGTTCTTTATTAAATTATATTACCATGCACTATTAAAATATTTTCTAAATCTAGAAAATCGCCAGAGCAATATCGCTTGCTTTACAGGGCTGTGGAAATATCATAACCAATCAGGTCCTTATTAGATATTGGAATATTCTGTACTAAAATTAAACTAAGGAAAATTAATATTTTGGGATACTATATAGGAAATGATTCGTCTCAAAAACAATACTTTCATGGATTTTTGAGACAATTGAAAATAGGTTGATTGGTCCATAGGATGTCAATCTGTTGATATATTTGACTCAAATTAGGAAAAATATGACAGTGGGATATTTCGAAGAGGTAACCAAGTTATATAAGGCATGATTTATATAGTAAAAAATGACGAAACAATATGTATACAAATTGATACTCCACATAAAAAACAGGATCAATTATTTCTTCGGGAAGATTGGTTGATCAAGCAAATTGCAGAGACATTGGTTATGGTGATTCCAGAATACTATTATTTTTTTTTTTTACAGTATAATAGATTAATAACACAATCTGTCACATTGAATAATAATACAATCTGTCACATTGCAAGTATTATATAATACAAGTATTCATACAATACAATACATGAATAAGGATTCATCATAAGTATTCATTCATATCATATATACAAAATAGAAGTGAACGTAAATAGTTAAAAAAATTGTTAATTAAATTAAATTCAAAACAGTAAACGTAGGTATTAAATAACTATGTAAATAGAAAAGGGAAAATAAATATAGATAACTATAAAATTAAAAATATGTATAATAATAAATAATACACAAAAATAACCGATTCAGAGTTACGTAATTATTAAATCAAATTCTAACGTTTGACGATTATTATTTGAAATCATCTTTTCCACATTTCGTTATTGTATATAATAAAAGTATAATAATATATACACACACATACAAATTGATGCTCGTAGTGGTTCAACTCCTAAAGAATTAGCTCAATATTCTCCTCGGGATGATTGGTTGATCCAGAAGGTTTTACAGAAAGTGGTTGTCACAGCAACCATGTCTATCTGATATCATAAACAAGTCAGACAAGGCTGCTGCGAAAATCACAAATTTCTGTCTATGTTCTTTATTAAATTATATTACCATGCACTATTAAAATATTTTCTAAGTCTAGAAAATCGCCAGAGCAATATCGCTTGCTTTACAGGGCTGTGGAAATATCATAACCAATCAGGTCCTTATTAGATATTGGAATATTCTGTACTAAAATTAAACTAAGGAAAATTAATATTTTGGGATACTATATAGGAAATGATTCGTCTCAAAAACAATACTTTCATGGATTTTTGAGACAATTGAAAATAGGTTGATTGGTCCATAGGATGTCAATCTGTTGATATATTTGACTCAAATTAGGAAAAATATGACAGTGGGATATTTCGAAGAGGTAACTAAGTTATATAAGGCATAATTTATATAGTAAAAAATGACGAAACAATATGTATACAAATTGATACTCCACATAAAAAACAGGATCAATTATTTCTTCGGGAAGATTGGTTGATCAAGCAAATTGCAGAGACATTGGTTATGGTGATTCCAGAATACTATTATTTTTTTTTTTTTACAGTATAATAGATTAATAACACAATCTGTCACATTGAATAATAATACAATCTGTCACATTGCAAGTATTATATAATACAAGTATTCATACAATACAATACATGAATAAGGATTCATCATAAGTATTCATTCATATCATATATACAAAATAGAAGTGAACGTAAATAGTTAAAAAAATTGTTAATTAAATTAAATTCAAAACAGTAAACGTAGGTATTAAATAACTATGTAAATAGAAAAGGGAAAATAAATATAGATAACTATAAAATTAAAAATATGTATAATAATAAATAATACACAAAAATAACCGATTCAGAGTTATGTAATTATTAAATCAAATTCTAACGTTTGATGATTATTATTTGAAATCATCTTTTCTACATTTCGTTATTGTATATAATAAAAGTATAATAATATATACACACACATACAAATTGATGCTCGTAGTGGTTCAACTCCTAAAGAATGAGCTCAATGTTCTCCTCGGGATGATTGGTTGATCCAGAAGGTTTTACAGAAAGTGGTTGTCACAGCAACCATGTCTATTTGATAACATAAACAAGTTAGACAAGGCTGCTGCAAAAATCACAAATTTCTGTCTATGTTCTTTATTAAGTTATATTACCATGCACTATTAAAATATTTTCTAGGTCTAGAAAATCGCCAGAGCAATATCGCTTGCTTTACAGGGCTGTGGAAATATCATAACCAATCAGGTCCTTATTAGATATTGGAATATTCTGTACTAAAATTAAACTAAGGAAAATTAATATTTTGGGATACTATATAGGAAATGATTCGTCTCAAAAACAATACATTCATGGATTTTTGAGACAATTGAAAATAGGTTGATTGGTCCATAGGATGTCAATCTGTTGATATATTTGACTCAAATTAGGAAAAATATGACAGTGGGATATTTCGAAGAGGTAACTAAGTTATATAAGGCATGATTTATATAGTAAAAAATGACAAAACAATATGTATACAAATTGATACTCCACATAAAAAACAGGATCAATTATTTCTTCGGGAAGATTGGTTGATCAAGCAAATTGCAGAGACATTGGTTATGGTGATTCCAGAATACTATTTATAGCATAATACATTGGATCATATTATGTTATATTATATTGCATTATTATTAGTATATACTATATTATATTATACTATGCCATCTATATTATTAGATAATAATTAATTAAGATTAATACTTATGAGGCTGGTAAATTTATTTTTGGAGTTTGATGACAGTCACCATCGAATCTGCAGAACAAAAAAGATTCCTTCGGAGACTGTCACCAACCACTATTTCCTTCATTTCCGTCTAAATATTTATTATTATATGCATTGAGATTTTTGGTGGTTTAACTTCCAGAAAAATAGCTCAATGGTCTTTTTCTCAAGTGACTCGTAACATGAGATATTTAAGGGAAGTGGGTTGTTGGCCCTCTGTCCCCGAGTCAGGTGAAGGGGCTGCCTCCTCAGAGCATCCTGACTTGCTCCCCCGTCCGGGGCGGCTACCTAGGGAAGATAACCCTAGGGTGTGTACTGTGAATGATCTTATGCCCAGTGTACTGTTTTAGTGTACTGTATGAGTGTCAGTGTACTGTTCCCCCAACCTGGAGGACCAGTGGCTGATTGCGGTATAATTACCGGGCGATGGGGCCGCCACCTCCCTACGCCAATTTGTAGTGGTTAAACTTCCATAAAAAAAAAATCAATGGTCTCCTCGAGATGATTGGTTGTTCTAGCAGGTTTTACAGAAAGTGATTTTCACAGGAACCATGCCAGGTTGATGAAAATAAAACAACCTAGTCTTAGTCCCTCTGAAAACCACGAATTTCTGAATATGTAGGTTATTTGTTGATGCTAAATCAAACAAACTGATACACTTGTTGTAATTACAAAAGCGAAATTTCAGAAACAAGAATATCTTTTTAAAAGAAAAAATATTGCAGAAGTTCAGTAACAGTCACCTTTGGATCTGTTAATATTACAACAAAACTTCAGACCACTATTTCATTCATTTCTGTCACATTATTGTTTCTCTATAGACAGGAGAATTGAAGATTTCCATTCAAGTTATTATATAATATGGTAAAAGTTAATTTGTTAATGATATAAGCTTAAAAAAGTTTAAAGCGGAATAGACTACTATTAATTATTGCAAAGCTTTAATTTACTTTTTTCAACAACACCTAGGTTGTATTAAAATAAAAATAATGACATGAATACACTTTATAATTGAAAGGTTATTATGTTAAATATAATGATATTCGAAATGATTATAATCTAATAACTCGAAATTTATTAGTCTGTTATTTGTATGACGTTATGATAAAAATATAACGATATATACACACACATAAAAATTGATGCTTGTAGTGGTTCAACTCCCAAAAAATGAGCTCAATGTTCTCCTCGGGATGATTGGTTGATCCAGAAGGTTTTACAGAAAGTGGTTGACACAACAACCATATCTGGTTGATAACATGAACAACCTAGATGTGGCTGCTGTGAAAAGCACAAATTTTTGAATTTAAAGTTTATTCATTCAAAAACATCAATAGATGTCGTAGTTATACAGTTAAAAATACATTCTAAAAAGTATAACATAACATCAAGATATTATGACATTGAATTTGATAATTATATATATATATCATTAAAATTATAAATAATGTACATTATATATATATATATATATATATATATATATATATATATATATATATATATATATATATATATATATATACGATAATTATAAACAACATCAAATAATCACATAATATAAAGCTTTAATTTACTTTTTTCCACCATACCCAGGTTGTATAATGATAAAGATAATAGCATAAATACACTTATAATTACAAAGTTAATATAGTAAATATAATGGTACTTGTAATGATTATGATCTAAAGTAATTATGGAACTTTGTTTTGAACCCCAATCTTTGTTATAGAATTTAATCTGTATTTGTAAGTAAAAAATAAAAAAAAAGTTAAATATTCCTAATCCTATTAACGTTTACATGTAAATAATTAAAAAAATTACCAAGTTTATTTATTTTTAAACGTTTACAAATAATAAAGGTGTGCTCTGCAAAACTGTTATTTTAAATAACACCCATTGATGCTATTAGTTGATCAACTCCCGACAAATTATCCATAAATGGGCCAGTTGAAAAGATTTCGATGGTCCAGCAGGTGCACAGAAAGTAGTTGACTCGTCAACCATGACAGTTTGATATAAATAACAACGGCACTGTCGTGGCTGCAGACTAAACCACGAATTCTGATATGTAACAAAACGAAACCGATTCCTCAGGAGACAGCCACCACTATCCCCCACATTTTTTGTCCCATTATTTAGTATCATATATAATTTTATTAATATTATTTTATTAAGAAAAAATACGTTTTGCTTCAATTAAGGGCATTGAGTATTTAGGATGAATGAAACACAAACATATCATATATACAATAAAAGAAAAACAAGATTATAACAAAATAAAATAAAATAAAACTTGGAATAACAGAATAAATCAAACATGAGACAAAATTAGATAAAAAAACAAAAACATATTCATAGTTATTTACAAGTATTATTATATATAATAGAAATATATAAATGTATACACATCCATACAAATTGGTGCTCGTAATGGGTGACGAACGAAAAATGAGCCCAACGCTTTTTTTGAGAAGATTGGTTGATCCCGAAGGTTTCACAGAAAGTGGTTGACACATGAACCATGTCAGGTTGATAAAAAACAAAACAACCTAGACATAGTCCCTGTGAAAACCACAAATGTCTGAATATGTGAGTTATTCATTGATGATATGTTTAATAACTGCTACAAATGTTGTAGTTACAAAGTTAAAAATTCAGAAACAAAAATGACTTCCTAAAAAAGTCACTTGAGAAGAATCGAAGATTTAGCAGGTGTATAGAAAGTGGATGACACGGCCATAATGACAGGTTGATAAAATAAAAACAACCTTATCATGAAGGCCGATAAAACCACAAATTTCTGTATATGTACTCTATGGATTGCTAAAAAATTTAAAAACACACCAGGTTTGTCCCTCCACCTATCTGTCTATTTGAATTCTCATAATTTATCACTATTGCCCTTGATTAAATCCAAGTATTTAATAGTGGTAATAAATATTTCTTCATCAAAATCCTATTTTTTAAAAACACACTTTAATGCTCGTATTTGACCACCCCCAAAATATTATTTCACCTGAGAAGATTTGAAGATCTAGCAGGTGTACAAAAAGTGGTTGACACGGCCATCATGACAGGTTGATAAAATAAAAACAACCTTATCATGAAGGCCGATAAACCACGACTGTTAAATAAAAAAAAAATGGTAAACAAATGATAATAAAAATACTGGCGAAGTTCTTGCAGGAGGTTGGTACCAGTCACCCGCAGCTCTGTTAATAGCAAAAGATAACAGAAGCTTTGGGTCAACAATACCGCTCTCCCTATTATAAATAATATATATTAATACTTAAATTTTATTTTAATACTACCTACATAAAATATAGTATTATTTACAAGTATTAAATTTTTCAATTTTTGCCATAATTGAAAAAGTATATAAAAGAAATTAAAATTTTAAATAAATTTAATTATATCCTACATCTTAATTATACATTGTCTCAAATTATACATCTATTTGACTGTTAAATAAAAAAAAAAGGTAAACAAATAATAATAAAAATACTGGCGAAGTATTTGCAGGAGGTTGCAACCAGACACCCGCAGCTCTGTTAATAGCAAAAGACAGCAGAAGTTTTGGTCCCAAATACCGCCCAATCTAATATAAATAATATATATCCATCCTTGAATACTACTTATATAAAATATAGTGTTATTATAATTTTTTGATTTTTTCAGTTTTTGGCATAATAAAAAATGTATATAAAACATTAAAAATGTTAATTAAAGTTAATTATATCCTTCCTCTAAATTATACATTGCCTCAAATTACACATCTATTTGACTATTAAATAAAAAAAATGATAGGCAAACAATAATAAGAATACTTGACAAGTTTTTACAGGGGGTTGGTAACAGTCAGAACCAGCTCCATACTCAAATTTTTTTTTATTTAATACCTATATAAAATATAGTATTATTTACAAGCATTGAATTTTTCAGTTTTTAGCATAATAAAAATGTATATAAAAAAATTCAAAATATTAAATAAATTTAATTATATCCTACCTCTAAATTATACATTGTCCCTAATCATACATCTATCTTAATGTTAAATAACATTAAAAAAAAAAAAAAGATAAACGAATAATAATAAGAATACTGACGAAGTTCTTACAGGAGGTTGGTAACAGTCACCCGCAGCTCTGTTAATTGTAAAAGATAACAGATGCTTTGGGTTCCTGACACGACTCTCCCTATTATAAATAATATTTTTATCCATAATTAAATACTACATATATATTGTAATAAAAGTATATTGGTTATACCAATCACTAACATATAGTAACTAAGATTGTCAAGTATTAGTATCTATTTTGTCTTGATTTTTATTTTAAAAATCTATTTGTTTTACCAGTTCTGGTCTTACAACAGATAGGCGGCCTTGGTCTTGGTCAGGTAAAATGCAAGACCAAGACCGATTTTGGGCAGCACTAATCAGTCTAGAATATCAGCGACTATGATCAGTATTCAGTAATCATTCCCGAGCTTTGAAATTAAACAACTATAATCTTATGTAACTGTAAAAATTATTATTTCCCATGACAGTTGTGCTTCAATTTTTCTACGTAACAGGTATACATCCTGCTACTTGGAAAAACAGATAGTTAATATTGGTTGTTGTTGGAGCACAAGAACTCATATCAGAGTTCGGCCGAATAAAACAACCGTGATAAATATACATCTATTTGACCATCAAATAAAATAAAAACTGATTAGCGAACAATAATAAGAATACTTGCCAAGTTCTTGCAGGAGGTTAGTACCAGACACCCGCGGCTCTGTTAATAGCAAAACTTAACAGAAGCTTTGGGTCACTGTTACCACACTCCCTATTATAAAGAATGTATATCCATACTTATATCAAATATAGTATTATTTATAAGATTTAAATTTTTGGGTTTTTGGCATAATCAAAAAATGTATATAAAAAATTCAAAATATTAAATAAATTGTATTATATTCAACCTCTAAATTATAAAGTTTCTCAATATCTGTGTTTTGTAGGAATTTCCAGTACAGTAATAATTAGAATATATTACTTCTATTTCCTATATTACATACAACATCACAGCTAACAATAAATCATAAAATAATCTAAATCCATACTTAAATTTTATTATAATTAATTATTAACTAACATAATAGCTCGTAGCTCTTCACTAAGAATAGATGGGTGCAAAAAAGAATGATTTCCATGAATGATCTATAACAACAGATTGAGAGATTCAATAGCTATAACATGATGTCATTTATCTTCACCTGTTGATAAAAAAAACAAATAATTAAATTCATTTGAAAACTAGAGTTTAGACTTAATTAACATGTTTAAAGTAGACATACATACCCAGTTTCACAATCCACATAATTTCTTGGTGTTTCCGAACTGAGGATGAAGAGAAGGGTTAATTTTTGGAAAGGAATCGAGTACATAATGCGAGGTAAGCACACGACAAATGCTTAACTGGCAAAATGTACTCGACCCCAATCCAACTTGATGCTGTCTATCGCTGCCCATTTCGTCCGGCGTATGTGGAATCCATGATTTCATATTCATTAGATAATAAAAAATTAAATAATATTAAAACTAACATAATTGCTCGCAGCTCTTCTCTAAAAATAGATATATGAATAAAAGAATGATTTCGAAAAATGATCTAGAGCAACAGATTGAGAGATTCAATCACTATAACATAATGTCGGTTATCTCCATTTGTTGATAATAAAAAGGTTTGTTGATAGTAACCTTTGGTCCTGTTATTACCGAAACAAAACAGGATCCTCGGGTTACTATCACCACTCTTCTCATCTCAACGATGTGTCTAGTCGGGAAACAAGGAATCCTTAGATCAGGAATAATACTTCAAAGAAGATTCCGTCTGCTTCTTACAGGAGGTTGGTATGAGTCACCCGCAGCTCTGTTAATAGCTAGAAATAACAGAAGCTTTGGGTCACTCTTACCACTCTCCCTATCATAATAGCTCGTAGCTCTTCACTAAGAATAGATGTGTTGAAAAAAGAATGATTTCCAAGAAAAATATATAGAAACAGATTGAGTGATTCAATAACTATAAAATGATGTCGTTCATCTTCACCTGTTGATTAAAAATCAAAAAAGTAAATTCATTTAAAAACTAGAGTTTAGACTTAATTAACATGTTAAAAGTAGACATACATACATAGTTTCACAATCCACATAATTTCTTGGTGTTTCCGAACTGAGGATGAACAGAAGGGTTAATTTTTGGAAAGGAATCGAGTACATGATTTCATTTCATTTTCATTTTGATTTCATATTGCAACAGATTGAGAGATTCAAGAAATATAACACAATGTGGTTTATCTCCGCATGCTGATAAAAAACAAAAAATTAAATTCATTTAAAAACTAAAGTTTAGACTTAATTAACATGTTTAAAACAGACATACATACCCAGTTTCAAAATACACATAATTTCTTGGTGTTTTCGAACTGCAGATGAAGCGGAGGGTTGATTGTCGGAAAGTAATCGAGTACATAATGCGAGGTAAGCACACTACATATGCTTAACTGGCAAAATGTACTCGATCCCAATCCAACTTGATGCTTTCTATCTCTGTCCATTTCGTCCGGCGTATGTGGAATCCATGATTTCATATTCATTAGACATTATAAAATTAAATTATATTAAAACTAACATAATTAAATAAATTTAATGATATTCTACCTCTAAATTATACATTGCATTAAATTATACATCTATTTGACTGATACATAAAAAATTTAAAAAAATGATAAACAGATAATAATAACAATACTGGCGAAGATCTTGCATGAGGTTGATGATAGTAACCTTTGGTCCTGTTATTACCAAAACAAAACATGATCCTCGGGTTACTATCACCACTCTTCTCATCTAAACGATGTGGCTAGTCGGGAAACAAGGAATCCTTAGATCAGGAATAATACTTCAAAGAAGATTCCGTCTGCTTCTTACAGGAGGTTGGTATGAGTCACCCGCAGCTCTGTTAATAGCTAGAAATAACAGAAGCTTTGGGTCACTCTTACCACTCTCCCTATCATAATAGCTCGTAGCTCTTCACTAAGAATAGATGGGTGGAAAAAAGAATGATTTCCAAGAATAATATATAGAAACAGATTGAGTGATTCAATAACTATAAAATGATGTCGTTCATCTTCACCTGTTGATTAAAAAACAAAAAAGTAAATTCATTTAAAAACTTTTTTTTTTTTTTTTTAATTTCTTTATTGAGTATTATAACAATCTGTCTGTTCGACATTGGTTATAGTGAGGTAGGATGACATTCACACCATATGTACAAAAAAATAAAATAAATAGAACAAAATAATAATCAAAAGTATATACAATAGACAATAAAATAAAATAACCTAAAAAAATAAGAAAATTAAAACTAAGGAAAAAAAAAAAAAATAACATGCATACCTATATACAATCAGGCGAGGGAACTCCAGGAGAACCCTGCGCTACTCTTCCAACCGCGTCACTGGTACTAAAGCCAGCGGAGATTGGTCGAGAGCACTTTAGCAACATACACACATGTCTTGAGTGAAGAATCTGGCCATTGCCA